TCCGGCCCGCTGAGCTCCCTGCGCCGAGCGCCGGCGTGAACTTACAGCCCAGCTTTTTCTTCCGTCGTCTTTCAGCTCGAACTTCCTAGGTTTTCCTGGAATCCCGTCAGCTCATTTGCTCAGGGCGTTTGCGAAACACGCTGCGAGAGACTGAGCAGAAAGCCCCTGGGTGATGGTGTCAAAAGAGGCTGAGAGTTTCATGACCACGGTCGTGCTGCCTTTTAAATGGAATAGTTGGAAGGTCAGACTCCAGGCAGGGGCTCGCTCACACGGCCGCCTCTCGTGAAGGTTTATAAATGTGACCGTCGCAGTATTTCCCAGGTGCCAGACTGTTGGGAGGCAGGGGCGGGAAGGCCGTGTTGACATGTGAGCAGTTTGGGGGGACACCCAGCTTCCCCAAGTGGGGTGCCATTAGACATCAGGGTGCCACTCTCGGGTCTTCCTTTACCCCCCACCCCATTCCCTCCCGCTCGGTCCCCAGTCACTGTGATTGCTTCCCGCTGTCTGCAGCCTCCCCTCTCTGTACCTTTCTCTCCACAGAACTGCCGCCCGGACTTGCTTTCCATCACCAGTCCTGCCCCCCACCTCAACTCTTTCATACATACTCTCCCAGCCTGTGGTAACAGTCTGATTCAACCTGTTACAATTTTTAAAAATTTAAAAGTCAGCGGTGAGTCACGATCGGATGAGACACAGCATGACGGCTGTCCTGTTAGGAGCGGGGCCCCCTCGGTTCTATTGTACGGCACCCGGCCTCCAGGGTTACTCGTACCACGTCCAGCTCTGTTTTCTAGAAAGAGCTCACAAAATGTGCTTTTCAAATCCTCCCCCAGAAATCAGAAGCCATTCAATCTGATGAAAGGAAAAAAAAAATAATAAAACACCCGAGCGTTTATAACCCTGCCATCGTGTTAGTAGTCATCTGATAAGAACATGGAAAGAATTTCAAATTTATTGTTGATTCAAAAATCTTGGCCAACAGAATGATCAGCGAGCAAAGCTCTTAGGAGCCAAGGAAATTCCCGGGATGGCTGGAGATGACCTTGCCCTGTAATGCACTGCCCACTAGAGCCATTCATCTGCCTCAAAGACAAAACAAACTAGACCTTGACCTCAGTCCTCACGGACAGGGCGTCCGCAGGCCTTTAACCTGTTCCATGTTTGACTTCAAGTAAAGTACAAGTGGTCCCTGAGTCACAAACATAAAATATACATTTGTTCATCTGTTCAGTAATGTCCCAAAAATTAACAGAGCAAACAGGCCCTCCCGTCTGCGGGGCACCTGTGGGCCCTGCTTGAAATCTTTTTGGAAATGAGGCAGGGAGCTGACTGAGACACGAGACACAAGCATGAGATAACCCCTGTGCTGGTCGGCGGGTCCCCTGGCCGGCCCATCGCTGGAGAGGACACCAGGGTGCCCATCCTTCCTCCTGCTGCTGGGCTCCCGCTGGAGTCAGAGAGCAGCGTCCGCCTTCCCTTGGAGGTGGCCGCGGGATGGTGTAGCCCTTGCTCAGCAAGCGTTCTATAAAGGATCGCGTAATAAATAGTCTTTGCAGGCCTAAGGTGTGGAGTAATTAGGAATTAGGGATCTTTGTCGCAGCTCCCCAATTCTGCCTTTGTAGCCAGAAAGCAGCCAGAGACAACATGTGAACAAACGGACAAGGCTGTGTGCCAATAAAACTTTATTGGCAAAAGCAGGCAGGTTGGCCCGTGGGCCACAGTTGACCAACCCCTGGCTCAGCCCATGGACTCGAATTAGATCCCGGTTCCTGCCATTTATTAACCATCTGACCTCCCTGTGTGTGTCCTTCACTGTAAATTGGTTAATGAGCCGTGTTGACTTAATAGTTGTGTTTTAAAGATTAAATGAAGTAGTCAGTATAAAAGTCCTTAAAAGCAAACTTATATACAATTGTTAGCTCTTAACGATCATCAGTATGTTTCGTTGCAGAAACTGGGTTAGAGAGGGTGCTTTTTTTGTCTTTTGTTTTGAACTTCTGAAGCTTCCCTAAAAAAAAAGAAAAATTGCTTTCATTTTGAAAGTATGCTCCAAGAAGTGCGCGTTCTGTGTTCTGAGTCCAGCCGTATTATGAAATAGAGGCGTATTAGAACATTACTCCATTTATAACGTCATCTGTGTGGGAAAACACATTCTCATGTAAATTTAGATGGATTTCTGGAACGTGATGTGTTTGTAAATGGGGACCTTTGTGTATCTGGCACTGGATCAGCTGCGCTCTGGACAGAACGGGGTCTCGTGGTTGTCGGGGGGTGAACAGCCTCCCACCGAGGAGCCGTCGGCACCGGCCCCCACGCGGTGCTTTGGGGCCCTCATCGAAGACTCGGCAGTGAGCACATCGGGAAGGCGTTCGGTATAAACCACATCGGGAACGAGCCCAGCGTGTAAGGGCCGTAGCAGCTATGGGTTAACAGCAGAAACGGCACAGCTAGTTTGTGACTGATTCTGTAGACAGGAAAGTTCAGTATCTCTGTTGTTTCCTTGTTGCTATTTTGAGCTTTCACAAAATCTGGGATCTGGACCGTTCGCATCCTGACCTATGTGTGACATTCAGCGTCCCGGTTGGAAGAAAAGGTATCTTCTGACCACGCCCTTTCCTTGTTCCCAACCTTTCTGGAGGATCATACGTCATTTGTCCATTCCCGTGGTTATTGGTGAGCTTGAGCATGTTTGTTGTGTGTTTGTCAGTCAATTGATTCTTCCTCGAGCCACTTGGGCCACATCTACCCCCAGACCTGGGGTTGTCCCCCAGTCAGGAAAGCAGGAGGAGGCTTGTGGGAGAAGAAAGGTGAGGCAAGTTGCAAGATGACTTCTTGGCCCTTCCTGTGGAGCCCAGCCACTCCCTTCCCAGGTCTTTCCCCTCTGAAGCCGAGCCTTCCTCCTAGGGCCCCGCCCCTTGTCCCTATGTCCTCGTGGCCATTTAGTGTAACCAAGACCTTCCCCAGTCCTGCTTCCGGTAGAGCAGAGGTGGGCAACGTATTGGGCCGCAAAATCGTTTGGTTCGGCCCTGCAAGGCAACCGCTGGCGGGACTCAAAATTCAATACATCTAGGAGCTTTTGTCATAGCTAATTTAAGTTGATAATTTTGTATGGCCCACGAATGATGTTAAATATCCAAATGGCCCTTGGCAGAAAAAAAGGTCCCCCACCCCTGCCTTAGAGAAATGGAGCCAAGAGGGCCGATGGCCCCGGACCTGGCATCCCCAGGCCGGCAGCACCTGAGGATCGGCTCAGGAGCCACCTCGCCTCTC